CACTGCAGTTGCTAGGCAACTGAAGGATGTCTTTTTCATCTGACTCCCAGGGTGGCTTCACACTTTTAAGAAGAAATTGTGGCAGGAACAGGCAGCCTAGTAAACATAAAGCATGGAAAAACAGACCCGTTTCCCCCAAACTTAGCCAGAAATTATGCAGATCAGGATTCTTCACCTTCCTTTTTTTTTTTACACTCTTGGCTGTTGAAAAAAACCTCAGTTTTAATCCAAATCAACACAAATCACAATATTGCCTGCTGTTGGACTTTTCTTGCAATCTGGGAAGATACCGGTTGCCTCCCACTGCTGGCCAGACCGGTAACGAAACAGAATCGGAGCCTAAAAATACTCAAGGGAGCAATCAACGCTGGGACTTGATTGAGGAAAAAAATTAAAAGTCTCTGAAATAAAGCATGTTGCTCATTAGGGAAGAGGCAGGGAAGCACCTGAGACTATTAAATACTGAGCAGAAGCCAGCATGAAGAAAAGAAGGTAGTGGCAGGTGGTTATTTAAGCTCCTCTCCATAACTGAAGTATTGGGCAGCTTCTAGATGGAATTTTGGAATAAATGACCTTAAAGGTAAGGGTTCCTCTCGCACATATGCTCCAGTCGTTCCCGATTCTAGGGGATGGTGCTCATCTCCGTTTCTAAGCTGACGAGCCAGCATTGTCCGAAGACGTCTCTGTGGTCATGTGGCTGGCATGACTAAATGCCAAATGTGCATGGAACACTGTTACCTTCCCACCAAGGGTGGTTCCTATTTTTCTACTTGCATTTTTTACCTGCTTTTGAACTGCTAGGTTGGCAGAAGCTGGGACAAGTAACGGGAGCTACACAGCGCTAGGGATTCGAACCGCTGAACTGCCAACCTTTCTAATTGACAAGCTCAGCATCTTAGCCACTGAGCCACCAGGAATAAATGAGTTTAGGAACCAGTAAATGACTTCCTATTTCACAGCCCTGAACTTTACTGTTGGGAGGAAAAAAATTGTGAATGGACAATATCTACAGCCCCACCCAATTTGAGGAACATCAAAACATCTTGCAAGCAATCTCTTTGGCTACTTACAACATCTCGGTCAATCTTGGCTGCCATCATTTCAGCTGATTCTTCATGCTCATGGTATTGCTTTGGTTTTTCACCTGAAGAAACAAAGAGATGAAGAGAAGCTTCCTCCAGGGGAGAGAAACTGTGGCTGTGATTGCCCCCAACAATTTTAACAACATTACTGAAAAATGTAGTGTTTGCACAACATACTAAGATTGATTGGCTTTTCTCTGAACGAAATAAGAAAGTCTACACCATTCAACAGATAACAAATGTGACTTGGAAGGTATTTTTTCTTCACTAGTATTGTGATTTGCAGCTTCTTCCAATCAACATCCAACTCAATGGATATCATGGAAGTTTTTGTCCTTGCATATTTTAAGGCCATTGCTTTGAACACAAATTTGGCCACCAATGTCAGTTGTAAAAAAAAATGTGATGATTGTGGCTTAGGGTCTTGTGAGAACCTAGGTGATCGGATAAGCTTATCATTCAATCTATCATGTGACCTGGAAAATATATTAATTCAGTAATGAATGAATCTGGCCTATGAAAACTGAAATAAAACATCAATGGTTACATATTTGGAAAATGTAAATGGAATTGGAAGAAGAGAGCAGGGTCAAGTGCCCCACCCAAAATGCATACCCCATATTTAAAGAAGTATCGTAATAGAAGCCCTTGACCCTATTATATATCCTAGAGATCTCAGTTATTGGGGGAATACAGGAAGCAGCTTACATCAGGACCTTGTAGTCATCTTGAGAATATAACAGTTGCCTATCGTCAATAAGCACTCAGCTTGCTAAAGCTATAAAGCATAATTTTGCTTACTATTCTTGCAAAAAAAAATCCACACATTTCTATCTTTTAAGTCTGAATTGGAGCAATGGTCCCATTATTTTTGCTAGAAATCCAATTTCAATCTCCTTATTTAGGTCATCCAAATATGATGCTTGCAAAGAAGATTTTTGCTGCAGGCTTTGTCTAGCGCAGGGGTCTCCAACCTTGGCAACTTTAAGACTTGTGGACTTCAAGAGTTCCTCAGCCAGTTGGCTGAGGAACTCTTGAAGTCCACAAGTCTTAAAGTTCCAAGGTTGGAGACCTGCTTTAGCCTAGATGCCTAAGATGGTTGAGATGGAGACAACTAGAAAGGAACGTAGACTTCCTGTGCTGTAAAGTATGAAATCCACACAAGGGGCTGAGATTTGGGAAACAACATTTGGCCAAAGTCCAGCCAAGCTCAATGCCAACATCTATGGGTACATACTCAACAACATGATGGTTGCATCCACATGATACACTGAACCACGAAGTATCCGGCATTCATCTGAATCCTGCCTAAGTTTATGATTTAGTAAAATGTGCAATCCCATAGGTGTCTTAAGAGTAGATATCAAGACTACGATGCTATTCAGGAATGAAAGTCTAATTAGAAAAAAATTCTAAATCTAGTAAAAGCAAACTTGAAACGCTTGGTGATGCCCAATCAAAATTTGTCAAATTTTAAGTCTAACAGAGCTAGTGTTAGAAGTGCTATGTCAGTAAAGATTTGTTGTTTATTTTTTCTCCCATCGAACCCTGATTTTACATTTTTAAAGTTGCCCTGATCACCGTTTATGGCACTGACTTGTTCTGATATCTTATTTTATGCTCAAATATCATAAAAATACCTTGGCATGGCTCCTTAGTCTTCATGTCAATTGCTATCTTTCTCCATACCTGATTTGACTAACAGCCGGCTTGTTCAAGAGTCTAGTCATACTCAAGACTAGACATCATGGAGTGACCTCCCATATGTGGGTCAAAATATTTCTTTAACAAGCTTATGTTTCAATAGTTGAAATGAGAGTAGAATACCTTCAATTTATTCTACTAGGACAGTGATGGCTAAGCTTTTTCCCATTGCGTGCCAAAAGCACAGCGGGGGTCATGCACCTATAATGCTACGCGTGCGACACTCCACCCCTGCATGCGCGCATGCACGTGCGACCCCTACTCTCCCCCCCCCCGTGCTTTTGGCACGCAATGGACACATTTTTTGCCCTCCTCAGGCTCCAGAGGCTTTCTAGTTGCCTGAGGAGGGTGAAAACAGCCCCCTCCCCCAGCTTCCCCGAAGCCTCCGAAGAGCAAAAAACGGCCTTATGGGCAAACCGGAAGTTCGGGAATGGACTTCCGATTTGCCCATAGGGCTGTTTTTCGCCCTCCGAAGGCTTCTGGAAGCCTCCTGAAGGCTCCAGAGGGCAAAAAACGGCCCTACGGGGACTCAGATGTGCGCTGGAGCTGACAACAGAAATGCCTCTTGTGCCCTAACAAATGGCTCCGCGTGCCACCTGTGGCACATGTGCCATAGGTTTGCCATCATGGTACTAGGACATTTACTGTACGAGAATGAGTCATATTACCCTAAGGCAAGGCTCCATAACATCCAGAGCAGAACACCCACATCTCAAAGTCTTAGCAACACTCACAATCTCCCTGTTCAGCTGCCCACGCAGACCAAGCCGCCACCCGGCTGCGGACATCCACCTGTGTAACAGTTGCTGGGGGGACAGGAGCTGGGGCTCTGGGAGGTGGAGGAATGGCACTCTCTGATCTGGAAATCATCCTAGATAGGGAAAAAAATAATGATATAACATTGAAACACCAAGAAAACAAGATCTCCTCTTTCAGATGTTGGTTAAGAGCTGTGGTGATGCGGTGGCTAGAATGCAGTACTGCAGGCTACTTCTGCTGGCTACAGTTCAATTCTCACCGGCTCAAGGTTGACTCAGCTTTTCATCTTTCCGAGGTCAGTAAACTGAGGACTCAGAGGTTGGGGGCAATAGGCTGACTCTGTAAACCGCTTAGAGAGGCCTGTAAAGCACTGTGAAGTGATATATAAGTCTAAATGCTGTTGCTATTGTTATTGGCCAATTTGTATTGCCATGACTCTCTGCCAGAAGCGGCATATAGCAACAGAGATCAATTGTCAGTATGTCCATCTGTCTGTCTGTCTGGGGTGGCGCAGTGGTTAGAGTGCAGTATTGCAGCCACTTCAGCTGACTGCTTAGCTGCAGTTTGGCGGTTCAAATCTCACTGGCTCAAGATTGACTCAGCCTTCCATCCTTCCGAGGTGGGTAAAATGAGGACCCAGACTGTGGGGGGCAATATGCTGACTCTGTAAACCGCTTAGAGAGGGCTGAAAAAAATAAAAGGGACATTAAATAAAGTATCCCCAAAACCCCCAATTGATATTTACAATAAAAATTTAAAAATTAAATTACAATTAACAACCAAATTAATCCTATATTTTATTCTATTCAGGTCAGGCTGACTTGCTGGAAAAGCCAACTTTTTAGTGCGCGTCGGAAGGACCG